GCCAGGGTGGGTCCCTGCTCCGGGGGCGGGGGGAAATGGGGTGGGTCAGGCATGGATGGGTCAGCGCCAGCCCCGGGCTCTGGGAGTGAAATCATGGAATTATTTGGGTTGGAAGGGACCTTTAATGATCACTTTAATGATCACCCTATGACCTTTAATGATCATCCAGCCCCACCCTGTGGTGAGGACACCTTCCGCTGTCCTGGGGTTCTCCATGTCCCAGTGCCCACCCTGGCCTTGGGCACTTCCAGGGATGCAGGGACAGCCACATCTGCTCTGGGAATTCCACCCTGGTCCCTCCCCACCCTCACAGGGAACAATTCCTTCCCAATATCCCATCCATCCCTTCCCTCTGCCAGTGGGAAGCCATTCCCTGTGTCCTGTCACTCCAAATTCCCTCTCCAGCTCTCCTGGAGCCCCTTCAGGCCCTGTCAGGGGCTCTGAGCTCTTCCTGGAGCTTCTCCTCTCCAGGTGAGCACCCCCAGCTTGGCTCCAGAGGGGCTCCACCCTTGCAGCATCTCCTTGGCCTCCCTCCAGCAGCTCCAGCTCCTTCCTGACCTTTCCTGGGACATGGGATGACAGCTCCTGTGCTCTCCCCCCGCAGGCCGTGCTCTACGTGGGCTCCAGCAGCCGCGTCCTGGAGCTGCCCATGGACATGTGCGGCGCCTACCGCAACAACTGCCACAGCTGCGTGCTGGCCAGGGACCCCTACTGCGGCTGGGCCAACGGCTCCTGCCTCTCGCTGGCCCGCGGCCGGTGCGTGGGGACCATTCCCACCCCAACCCCAGCGGGCAGACACCCACCCACACCCTCAGCATTCCCCTCCTGGGCTGAGCGCCTGCGTGGGTTTGGGGTGGATGCGCTGTCCCCGAAGGTTTGGGGTGCCGTGGGTGGATGCATTGCTCCCTTGAAGGGTTTTGGGTGCGCAACCCCTCTTTCTGAAAGTTTGGGGTGCTCTGTGTGGATCCATCCCTCCCGTGAAGGGTTTTGGGCACCCAAGTCCTCTCCCTGAAAGTTTGGGGTTCTCTGCACAGATCCATCCCTACCTTGAAGAGTTTTTCCCCTTCTCCCCAAGATTTTGGGGTGCTCTGTGTGGATCCATCACTCCTCT